TTTTATTCTATCACCAATGGATTTAATACATGTAAGTCTTATTTGGATTGTACTGTATCAAATAAGGTGCAAAACTGCCATTCTCTGGAGCATTTTCTCAATCCTTTGAGATTTTGCTTCCCAGCAATTGTCAGTTTGGCTCAAATAAACTCACAAAAATTCTTACAGGTTTGAATATTTCTTAGGTTGACATAACCCAAACTGATCCATTTCCTCAACATAATTTTAAAACCACACAGCTAGGGGTGCAAAGGGGAGTGTGTGTGTGTGTGTGTGTGTGTGTGTGTGTGTGTAAGAAAGAGGAGAGAGGGAGAGAGAGAGAGTGAGGGAGAAGGAGAGAGAGAAAGAGGGAACAGGGAGGGAGACAACCTCTCTAAATCCTTAAGTCCCTTTTAAATAACAGATACATAATAAAAACCTAAAGGAAACCACATTAGAAACACAGAGAGGTTTGCAAAACAAGAGGCTTCTTTCATCCCAAAAATACCAAACCAACACAAGGGGAGAAAAAATGAATGCAATGGATCCATGTGCCAAAGTTTTGGTCCTGCCTCATGGAGACACTACAAGCAAAGCCAAAACAAATGTGATAATTCACCTGATTCATTCCTAGGCTGTGCCTTAAACACACTATGTATTTGCCGGCTCACTGGTCAACACAGAGAAAAACACTTGTTTTCATTCTCAGTAAGGAACTCTGGGAGGTAACTTGGGCAGGCACCAAGAGAACAGCATTAGAGGAAAATGGGAGGGCTGGGGGCAGAGAAAGAGCGAACCAGTATGTGGCCTGCAAACTACAACAATGCAACCTCCATGAACAATTCGCCTCTGTCCTCTGGTAGATGTAGGTGTGCTGTTCTGTTGTGCTGTGTTTGTTTTTGTTGTGTGTGAGTGTCACTCGATGTGCCCTGGCATTTCCCCTCAGTCGGGGGAGTGGAGGTTGGGGTTCGGGTTTGGGAGAGCTCGGGTGAGGGCAGAGGAGGTGGGCAGGAGCCCGAAGCCATGGGCTGGGTGGGTACCTGTAGGCGCTGTGCCTCCTGAAGCTGCTTTCTGTGCAGTCCCTGGCCGCGTCAGCCTCTTCCTCGTCCTCCCCTCCTCTTCCTCACCATCTTCCCTTCTTCTCCTTCTGTGGTCAACGTACACCACACACTATTTGGGTCTGAGCCACGGAGCCCCTTATGGCAGCGAGGCGAACCTATGACACAAGAACTCATTTTTTTGGTTGATTTTTCTTT